TGCCTGGGCCACTTGGCAAGACTTCATCTCTACAATAAAGATCAAAAAATTAGCTGGGCGTGATAGCGCACGCCTGTAGTTCCAGCTACTTGGAAGGCTGAGGTGGAAGGATCGCCGGAGCCCAGCAGGTCGAGACTGCGGTGGCCAGGAGCGGCCACTGCACTCCAGTCTGGGAGACAGAGTGAGACTCCAACTGAAAAAAAAAAAAAAAAAAAGAAAATATAATATAGGCTACTAATAGCTAAATATAAGAAAGATAACTTCAGTAAATAATAATACCAACAGGTTTTACTTATTTGACCTTGAAAAGGTAATAGTATGAGATATGTCTTTTGTACATGTCTATTTATAGCATAGAAAGTCAAACTGTTAGAGAAACTGTACAGTCGTGTAAGTGTGAAATGTCTTATAGAAGAATATGGTATAAGAATGATTACCATACATTGCCTGGAGAAACAGAGGGGTAAACTATTGAAGTTTTGTGCTGAAAGCCATGAAAATAAGTTAATAAAAAATAGAAAAATACTACATAAAGCTAAAAATAAAGATTTCGATTGTGTGTTGAAAGAGGGGATTCATCAGCACTGCAGTGAACACATGTCACTCAATGTATGCTGATTATGAAACAAGCAAAAATCTATCACAATGAACTGAAAATTGAAGGGAACTGTGAATATTCAATAGGCTGGTTGCAGACATTTAAGAAGAGACATGACATTAAAGCTTTGAAGATTTGTGGGACTGGGCACAGTGGCTCATGCTTGTAACCCAGCACTTTGGGAAGCCCAGGCGGGAAAATTGCTGGAGTGTGGTAGTGGGTGCCTGTAATCCCAGCTACTTGGAAGGCTGAGATGGGAGGATTGCCTGAGCCCAGGGAGTTGAGGCTTCAGTGAACGTGAATTGTCACTGCTCTCCAGCCTGGGTGGCAGAGTGAGACCCTTTTTCAAAAAAAAAAAAAAAAAAGTTGGTAAAGCAGCTGCTGATCATGAAACCGTGGAGAAATCGTTTCACAAGTTTGCCAAGGTCATCACTGATGGAAAATCTGACACCTGGACAAATTTATAATGGTGATTTAACATCACTTTTTTGTGTGTTACTGCCCTAGAAAGACCCCTGACTACAGTTGATGAGATAGCCCCCACAGGAATTAAGGATGCCAAGGACAGAATAACTGTTGAGATGTGCTAATGCGACAGGCATACATGCATGTAAAGTTGCTGCGGTAGGCAAAAGCTTGTGTTCTTGCTGCTTTCAAGAAGTGAATTTCTTATTAGTACATTATTCTAACAAAACATGGATTACCAGGGACATCTTTTCTGATTGGTTTCATAAACATTTTGTACCAGTGGCTCATGCTAACTGCAGGGATGCAGCTTGACTGGACAACGATTGCAAGATTTTATTCCTTAATAACTGTTCTGCTCATTCTCCAGCTGAAATTTTCATCAGCCATGTACTGTCCCTGAATGTGACATTATTAATTCAGTCTAATGAACAGGAAACTTAGATCAATGAAGAGTAAATATAAAATTACTTTTTTTGAATAGCATGCAGCATAGTAAACAGAGGCAAGGATGTGGAAGGTTTTCAGAAGTTTAGCTTGAAGAATGCTGTATGTGCTATTGCTAATGCTTGGAAAGCAATGACTAAAGACAGAATTGTGCATGCCTGGCAGTCTGGCCTGTGGCTATGTTCAGTGATGATGATGAGCAAGGTGGTGACTTTGAAGAAATCCATATATCAAGGGAAAAAAATGATGTCTTACTTTCTTACATATGTAAAAAATATACCGTCAGAATCAGTAAGCTAGAATATCAAATAAGTTTTAACATTGGTAATGAGGCTTCGGTTGTTCTGTTGGTGAAATAGCAAAAATGGTTTGTAATCAAGGTGATTGTGATAATAGGGACAAAGAAGACGACGTCAGAAGAGTGCAGAAAAAGTGTCTGTAGATGACAGTGAAAATGTGTGGTGGATTTCATAACCAAAGTCCATTCATAACAACAAGAATTCATGTCAATTAATACAAAGAGAGACTTCTAAGTCAAATACTGTTGTTAATGATACAAATGGCTCTGCAGGAAACATTTAAAAAGCCATCCAGGAGAATGTCTCCTTAACCCTGGAGTACCTGCTTTCTGGTTTCTCAACTGCTTCTGATGTTTTTTCTCACCTAAAAAAAGTAAAATACAGTGTGCTGTAACCTTTGAATCAAAACATAGCATCAGTGAATAGAGACTGAAAACCTGTCTTTGTTGCTGTTTTCTGACAGCTGATGCAGGTATTACAGTGATGCTACCATGCTGCTTAGTTACCCTAAGCATTATATTTCCACTGTATTTATGGCATATCATATTTGTTGGTGTTAGGTACCTATATGTCAATAAGTGTTAGAAAATGATAGCTTATCTGTAGCACATAAATTCAGTCAAGAGTGACGGTATGCCAACTAGCCACGGATTATTCACATGGGTTGTTGAGAAAGGGACACCTTTGGTTCTGATGGTTCAGTATGCATTTTTTGTTTAATGCAGAAAATTATGAAGAATATTATGTAGAATTACCTTCAGGCTTATGTGTATAAAGTATATATGAAACATAAATGAATTTTGTGTTTATACTTGGGTTCTACCCCCAACACATCCTATCATGTATGTTCAAATATTCTAAAATCCCAGAAAATCCAAAATTCAAAACACTTCTAGTCCCAAGCATTTCAGATAAGGGATACTCAACCTTTATACACATACCCCCCCACACACACACAACCCCTCCCATACACACACACTCCCATCATAAGAATAATAATAAAATACATCATTGCTATTATCTTTATGCACAAACTCTTATGTATTAGGACAAGTGAGGATAAGAAAAATATGTTTTACTTCACTTACTACTTCTCTAGTGCTTTCCTTTTCTCTATGTAGACCTGAATTTCTAACCTGTATTATTTTCCTTCTTTCTAAAGAAAACCTTTTAACATTTTTGCAAAGTAGATAGATTAGCGACAAATTCAACTTTTGTTTGTCTGAGAAAGTCCTTTACCTTTGCTTTTGGAAGATAACTTCACAGAGTACAGAAATTTAGGGTGATGGGCTTTTTCCTCTTAAAGCTTAAAATATTTCACATTATATTCTTGTATACATGGTTTCTGAGGAGAAGACAGATATAATTCTTGTCTTTGATTTTTCTGCAGTTTGAATATGATATGCATATATATAGTACTTTTGGTGTTTATCCTGCTTGATATTCCCAGAGGTTCCTGGATCTGTGATTTAGTGTCTGACATTGATTTGGGGAAACTCTTAGTCACTATTGCTTCAAATATTTTTTCCTTTCTTCTAATATTCCCGTATGTGCATGTTATACCTTTTGTAGTTATCATGGTTTTTGGATATTCTGGGGTTTTTTTTCCTTCTTTTGTTTTTCCATTTTGGAAGTCTCTTTTGACATATCTTCTACTAATGAACATTCTTTGTTTCTGTTAGTGTTTTACTCTCTGAAATTTCTTTTTGTTTTTTATGAGAATTTTCATTTTCCTGCTTACATTATCCATCTTTTGTTTTATAATGACTCTAGTCCTTAGTGTGTTAATAATGGTTGTTTTAAAGTCATGGTTTAGTATTTTGAACATCCCTGCTATGTCTGGGTCTGGTTCTGATACTTGCTCTGCCTCTTCAAGCTATGTTTTTTGCCTTTTGGTATGCTTTTATAATTTTTTGTTGAAAGGTAGACATGATGTACTGGGTCAAAGGAACTGTGGTAAATAGGGCTTTTGTAATGTAGTGAGTGGGAGGGTGGGGAAAGTGTTCTATAGCCCTATGATTAGATCTCAGCCTTTCAGTAAACTTGTGTTCCTGCATTATGGACTTCACTAATGCTTAGTTTTACTGCCTATAGGTGAGACAGGATGGCTACAAGGGACTGGAGTTGGGTGTTTTCCTTTTCCCAGGCTGATTGTGCACTGATAAAATCCCAGCAAACTGGGCTCTGGTAAAATAGTTTCTCTTGAGGGCAGCCCTCATTAAGAACAGAATGCTCTGGGGTATTTCAGTATGGTTATTTGTCCCATCTCCTGCCAGAAGCTTTATAAAAGGATTTTTCTCCACTCTTCACTTTGAGCTCCTGGAGGTAAACTCAACGAAAGTGTGAAGGCTGCTTTCTAAGGCTGGGTCCCCTGCAGGCTTTAACTCTCGGTCTTGTCCACATTGAGCATCCATTTGGCAGTTCATCACATGAACGTGAGGAACTTTTGGATTCCTTTTGTGCTTTGCTGGAAACTGAAAGTCAGACTATTATTTTTTACCAATAATTTCCCTTAAGTAAATCCTGTCCTGGCATCGTTGAAATACAAGAGCCAGTTTTGTTGTTTTTTTTTTTTTACATCATAATACTCTTTATCCACTCCAAGCAAAGGAACCCCAAACTTTTCAATATTCAGATGACTGTAAAGTGAATAAAGATGATAAATGTCTTAGTAGCTGGTTTGTCTAGCTTTTTGAAAACCAAAGATGTTGGTGTGTAACCGACTGACCTGCATAAAATACCACATAAAATATATAATACATATGATAGGCTATTAGAAATACGGTTGCAAGCTGGGCTCGGTGGCTCAGCCTGAAATCCTGCGACTTTGGGAGGCTGAGGTGAGTGGATTGCCTGAGCCCGCGGGTTCGAGACCCACCTGGGCAGCGAGACCTCATCTCTACAATAAATAAAAAAAAATCAACCGGGCGTGGTAGTGCATGCCTGTAATTGTAGCTACTTGGAAGGCTGAGGTGGAAGGATCGCCGGAGCCTAGAAGGTTGAGGCTGCGGTGGCCGGGAGTGGCCACTGAACTCCAGTCTGGGCGACAGAGTGAGACTCTAACTCAAAAAACAAAAAAGAAATATGGTTGCAATTGAAGTAAATGGATCTTTAGTACAATAACTATTTTGAAAATGGATATGTTTTATAAATGCTATTTAAAAATAATGAAAATTGTTTTTCCATTACAGGAGAATGTTAAACGTAAAGACCATATTGATCATCAGAAGGATAAAGTTGCTTTAACTCTGGCTCGTCTAGCCCGCCATGTTGAAGTGGAGAAACAGCAGAAAGAAGAAAAGAATAGAGCATTCAGAGTATGTGACTGTTTTAATTGGTTTTATTAAATTAAGTAATTATTCATAATAAAGTTGTAAAGAGAAGCCTTTAATCAAAAAAGTATGATTTAATCCAAGTTCAGCTTGTGTCCTAGATAGCTCATCAATTTAGTAGTAATTCGTAATAACTTTTTACATCTCTTTTTTTATTTGTTGTATTCTTATTCTATATATATATAGGAAAATAAAAAATACAATTAATTAGGTGGACTTTATTTTTAGGAACAAAATCAGGATTTCTCCAAGCAAATGAGCAATTAAGGGTTTCTGGTTACTTTATAACAAAAGTGAAAAGAGTTTATCAGTGCTTTTATAGATATAAGCTGTTGAAAGATTACTTACCAAATAGAGCCAGATCACATTCTCAGACTTGAACTTTTCCTTTCAAATTAAATCGATTATTAAAAGGAAGAAATTTGAAGCATGTTTGTGGAAGAGCTGCTGAGTGGAAAATGAAGCCTAATTTAGAATCTTGTATAATATAATTTTTTTCCATGACTTGCTATAGAAGGCCTGAAATGATATAATTTAAAGAACTCCCTCAATACTGACAAATGTGTATGAGGACTAGAATGTTGATGAGTTGGGTAAAAAACCCTCCATACTAAAAGTCTAAAAATGGAAATTTAAATCATAGCTTTTCCAGCAGCTGTTTGGATTTCAGTGGACTGTTTAGCTATTTTATAGACTTTAAGTTTCATTCTGTGAATGAACAGTTTGGAGATGATCTCCCAGGTCAGGGTAAGCACTATGATTTTATAATTTTGACATCCTAGAGTGTCGGGAAGATGGTGGCTGAGCCAGTCAGACTTTGCAAGTCCCAGTGTGAATGAGTGAGTGTATGGAAAGTTTTGTGTACGTGTTGGTGAGTGAGTGGGTGTGTGAGTGGCTGACTGAGTGAGGGCGTGGGAGCAAGTGGTTGGGTCTCTCCTGGTGCGGTGCCTGGTGCCACAGCTGCTCAGCTTGGACCCTAGCAATTCCCGGGATGCAGAAGCCGAGTGACATTTTAATTTTTATTTATTTAATCAACAAAACCCTTCCTGGGAGGAAGATGCTGGGAGAGACTAAGTGGGGTCTCATGAGCAAGTGGCCAGGGCCTTCCTGGTGAAGCAGCTGGTGCTGCAGCTGCTCAGCTTGGTCCCTAGTGCTTCCTGGGTTGCAGAAGCTGAGGGCCTTTTTTTAAAAACTGACAAAAGTTTTCCCACAAAGAAGTGGTGGGGAAAGACCGCCAGCTCTAGGCTTTGCCTCACCACTGCAGCACCGGGCCAGACACTGGCAGCAAGGGCTGTGGAGGGAGCCCAGAGGCAGAGTCCCACCAGAGAAGATGAAAGAGGCATCCTGCCACAATCTTGAAAATAGGGCAGGAAAGTGCTCTTACTTGCTTACCACAGAGCAACAGACCCAATCTCTGTGACCAGTGGATCAACTACTCAGGGGTTGATTGTGACCCAGAGGGAAAATCCTAAAAGTACAAACTTTGGAGGGACAGGACAAGTGCTGAGTCACAGGTGCCCCACCCTGTACCCTGATTCAGCTGCAGGACAAAAGGTGTGACCAGAAAAGGATGAAGAAGACCTCAAAAGAGATCAGTGGTGAGTCTGGGGCTGACCCAACCCCCTTCCTCCCCAGCAATCCTCTGAACAGCAGATCCACACAGCTGGGACACAACTGAGAGGGACGAACCAAGATGGAGACCGTATATCAACTGTAATAGGAGAACTATTCCAGGATAGGACTAACTGGGACACCCTCCACAAGTACATACTTGGGGAAGAGACAGTCCTGCACCTCCCCACTGGAGGGGATCCCCCTGACCATATGATACTGGGAGGGGAGGACTGCAGCCCCACCCACCCCTACTCCCTCTCCTTCCCTGGTCTGGACACTGGGAAGAGAGTGAATGAGGCGGAAGCTCTGCAGGAGGTAGCAGAGAAGCAGATAAGAGGAACAATTACAGAACCTGCCTCAAGAGGGCCGAGTATTTTTTCTTTTTATAATTTTTAATTTTTTTAATTTAAAAATTTTTTTGCCTGATTGTTAGTTTTTCTGTTTTTTAAATATTTTCCCTCTGTGCATGAATGTGTATGTGAGGGTTTGATCTGCATCCTCCCTCCCCCCTTTTTTTCTTTTCTTTTTCTTCTTTTTAAAATTGTTTTCTGTTTATGTGTACATGTGAATGATGGAGTGTTCATCTTTCAGTTTTTTTAATTTTTTGTTTATTGATTTGTTTTTGCTCTTTTGTTCTTCTCTCTCTTTTTTAGTTTAAGGTGTGTGGATATATGTGTGAGGGTTCAATCTGAATTCCTCTTTTCCTTTTTTTTCTTTACTTTTTTTGGTCTTTCTCCATTTTGTGCTAAATGTGTGTGCGTGTGCGCGTGTGTGTGTGTTTAGTTTTCATGGTTTTTTTGTTTTGTTTCACTTTATTGTTATTCCAGTTTGTTTTGTGGTGTGTGTGTGTGTGTGTTCAATTGTTTTTGCTTTGGTTTCTACTTTCATTATTCTGTATTTTTTTTCATTTTTTAAAAAAATTTTTGTCCATCTTATTTCATTCTGTTTTTCTCTGTTCTCATTGCTACTACTGTATCTTGGACTCGGGGTGCACACACATACTCATTACATCGTCGTATAGAGTGGTGGTGGAGAGTGGGTCTCAGGGAACACATACCACAGTCAGTGAACATTGTGATTTGCAAGTAGTTTCTGAATCCTAACTCCCCATCCCCTACCTTATTTGACTTTCAAAACTGCAAGAGACAGCAAAGCTTCCCACCCACAGTCTTATTTCAAAATAGAACAAATCCAGAGTCAGGATCAAGGGGAGAATAGAGGGCTGAGCAAACATCAGAATTGAAAGCTTCTCTTACTGCCACTGTATAACGGAACTAAAGAGAAAAGCAAGATATCTGTCACAAATGAAGAAAAACCAACAGAAGACCACAGGTAATTTCAAGTATAACAAAAAGAAAATGCCTGAAAAATCAGACCTCAGAGCCCAAACAATGGAAGTTACCAACAACTGGCCCCAGAATGCAACAGGGATTGGGGAATGGATGGAAAGAGTGAATAAGACTCAAGAAAGACAAGATGCAACACTGAAAGTACTTGGAACAGAGATTTTGGCCATAAAAAATTTTATCCAGGAAGTAAATAACAAGATGACAAGCATGGAAAGCAGAATTAATCTAGCAGAAGAAAGAATGTCAGAACTTGAACCAGAACATGAAATTAACCTCATCTGTAAAAACAGAAAGAAAACTCAGAAAGGAAGAACAAAGCCTATAAGAACTACAAGAGATGTGTGATTATATCAAGAGGCCAAACCTACACCTGATTGGGATCCCAGAAGAAGAAAAGGAAATGGAGAACACCTTGGAGCAAGTATTCCAGGATATATCCAAGAAAACATTCCCTGTCTCATCAGTGATGTGACCAGCCATGCATAAGAGGTACAGAGAACCCCATAAGACATCAAATGAGAAGACTAACCCCTAGACACATAGTAATTCACTTACACAAAGTAGGCACAAAAGAAAAAATCCTAAAGGCAGCAAAGAGAAAGATCAGACTACCTACTAGGGGAAATCAATCAGAATAGCAGCAGACCTATTGGCAAAAACACTACAAGCAAGAAGGGACTGGAATCCAATATTCAAAGTCTTAAACATAAGCAATTTCAACCACGAATTTCCTATCCGGTCAAGCTAAGCTTCATCAGTGATGGAGATTCTTTCCAGACATCCAGGACCTAAGAGATTATGCAGCTTCCAGACCAGCTCTATAGGAGACACTTCAAAAGATATTAAGCACAGAAGAAAGAAAAAAAAAAGAATGACTATACACTTGCCAAGAAACAACAGAGCACAGAATCAACAGAGAATATATAGCAACAACAAACTTGGAAATATACACATACATCAATCCCAAAACTAAAAGAAAACAAGCAAACAAACAAAAAAACTTTATAAGAACCTCATGACAGGGATAAACAATCACATTTCAATAAATAGCTTGAATGTGAATGGACTAAATGTACCACTGAAAAGACACAGAATGGCAAACTGGATAAGAAACCATGACCCAATTATTTGCTGCATCCAGGATACTCATCTGGAGTGTCCACAAGGGATGGATATAGACTCAAAGTTAAAGAATGGAAAACGAGATTCCAGTAAAATGCATCATAAAGGAAGGCAGGAGTCACAATATTAATATCAGACAAAATAACCTTTAAGCTATCAAAAATTAAAAAAGATATGAAAGGACACTACATAATGATAAAAGTTTCAATCTATCACCAAGAAATATCTATCTGTCCTAAACATATATTCACCAACACAGGAGCACCAGATTTTATAAAGCAACTACTAAGTAAACAAAGATAATGACTCTAACACTACTATAGCAGGGGACTTGAATACCCCACTGACAGCCCTAGATAGATCGAAGCAAAAAATTAACAAGGAGATTCAGAACCTAAACTTGATACTCCACCAAATGAACTTAATAGATATCTATAGAATATTCCACCCAACAACCACAGAATATACATTCTACTCATCACCACATGGAACATAATCCAAGATCGATCACATCCTCAGCCATAAATCAAGTATAAACAAATTCCATAAGGTTGAAATTTTGCCATGCACCTTCTCAGATCACAGTAGAATAAAAATAAATATCAACACCAACAAAATTTCCCCAAGCGCACAAAGACATGGACACTAAGCAGCATGATGCTGAGCAACTACTGAGTCAACACTGGAATCAAAACAGAAATTAAAAGATTCCTGCAAACAAATGGAAATAAAGAAACATCTTACCAAAACCTCTGGGATGTCATGAAAGCAGTTATAAGAGGGAAATATATAATTCTACAAACTCATGTCAAGAAAATGGAAAGATCACAAGTTGACAGACTAGCAAATCACCTAAGGAAGCTGGAAAGAGGAGACCACGAAAACACTAACTTTAGCAGAAGAATCCAGGTCACCTAAATAAGGGTCCGCATGCAGGACGTAGGAGACAAAAATATCATAGAAAAATCAACAAAATAAAAAGCTGGTTCTTTGAAAGAATTAACAAGATTGATGGACCCCCCCCTACCAGAATGACCAAGAAAAAGCTCAAATAAACACAATCAGAAATACAAAATATCAAGCCACAACTGACACCAAAGAAATACAAAAGATTATCAGAGATTACTATGTACACCTATACAGAAACAAACTTGGTAACCTAAATGAAACGGAGAACTTTCTGACACCTCACAACCTCCCCAGGTTGAAACAAGAAGACAATGAGACACTCAATAGACCATTAACAACCCAGGAAATTGACTCTGTCATAAGAAAACTACCAACAAAAGAAATCCCTGAACCGGACGGCTTTCCAGCAGAATTCTACAAAACGTACAAGGAGGAGCTGATACCAAATGTGCCAAAAGGAAAAAACAAAAGCCCCATTAGAAAGTTGGCAAAAGACATGAACAGACACTTCTCAAAAGGAGATATATGAGAATTGAACTCACCTGTCCAAAATCAAAGGAAAAAATGTTAAAAAGAAGATACATGGGCAGGCAACAGACACATGAAAAAGTGCTCAGTCTCACTAATCATCACAGAAATGCAAATCACAATCACATTGAGATACCATCTATCCCTAGTAAGAGTGGCCATCATTAACAAAACCAACAATAACAGATGCTGGTGACAATGCACAGAAAAAGGAATGCTTCTACACTGCTGGTGGGAATGTAAGCTAGTGCAGCCTTTTTGGAAGACAGTGTGGCGATTTCTGAAAGAACTAGAAATTGACCTTCCATATGACCCAGCTGTCCCCCTATTGGGAATATACCTGGAATAACTCAAATCCTTCTACCAGAGATACCTGCACCCGCATGTTTGTTGCAACTGTATTCACAATAGCAAAAACATTGAACCAACCATGCTGCCCATCGAAGCTGGACTGTGTAAAAAAAAGTGGTACGTGTACACAGTGGAATATTATGCAGTCATAAAGAAAGACAAACATATGGACTTTGCAGCAACTTGGATGGATTTAGAGTTGATCATACTCAGTGATCTATCACAGAAACAACAGAGTACCATATGTTTTTACTTATAAGTGGACCTTGAACAATTATCATAATGCTATAAGAAAGGGATTGCCAGTAGCAAGAAACTGCCAGGGATGGGGGAGTGGGATTGGCTGTTGAGGGAAACTGTCAGGGGAGAGAGGGGCACACCTCATCAACAAGGGTACCTGCATAATGAACATTTGTATACCTAACCCTCAATTGTACCCCACATCTTTAAAATAGAAAAAGTAAAAATAATAAAGTATTGGAAATGTGTGAATCTTAAAAATAAAAATTTTAACATCCATGTGTTTGATTTCTTGTTCTATTTATTATAAAGGAATTTGTGTATTTCTATAGCCTTTGTTTTAATATTTATTAATCTGTATGGCATAATCTTCTTTAAATTTAGAAGTAGGTTAGTTTAGGGACTTTATGATGTGCCATGAGAACATAGTAATGTAATCGTATATTTAAGATGCTTATTGTTTAAAAATAGGTATATTGTATGAATATACACACATACTTAATATGATTGTTATCCTGGTGGAAACACTATTCAATTTTAACGAAGTTTCTTTCCCAAAACTATGTCAAGTTTTTTTTTTTTTTATGAGTCATCTTTTGGGAGAGGAGTCATTTGCAAACTGTTTTATTTTTTCCCAGATTGCCTGAGTGATGCTAGCTTCTTTTCAAAGACAGTGTTTAATGGCTACATAGATAATAAAGCTTTTGTGATGAGCTCACAATCTTATATAGTCACAATGACAACTAAGGTTTTTTTTTTTTTAAGGGTACTCTGATCCTGTAGGATATACTTTGGAAAAAAATGTATTTGGTGATTTGTGAAGTTGGGATACTACATTTATGTATACAAAAATCATGGTGCACATTAACTCTTCAGGACTTCAGAAGGCCTGCATGAAAGGAACCTTTTAAATTTTGTGTTAAAACCAGTGTTTTTATACATATCTAATTTGATTATAGAGAATTTTTAAAAAGGTATATAATGCATATTAGCATCCTTGAGAAGTAGTATTTCATGACAGTACTTTGAACAATGTTGTATAGATTTTCTTCAGATTAAAATCTTGGTCTCCCCTTTCTCTCAACTTACCCTTCCTGATAGAAAATCCAATTACACTGCTAAGTAGGCCATGCATTTATTCTGGTTTATATCTTGCAAATCCAGTGTTGCTGGCTCTAATTTCTTTTTTAGTACATTTAATTTTTTCGAGAGGAGGTATGATCATACTTGTTCAGTGCACGAATTCTAGAATTAGATTGCCAGAGTTTGAATTCTGACATTGTTATATATCCTTGGGCAATTTATTTGACCTCTCTGTACCTCAGTTTTCTCATAAGACAATAGGGAACAGGCCAGGTGTGATGGCTCATGCCTGTAATCCCAGCACTTTGGGAGCCCTAGGCAGGAGGGTCCATTGAGGCCAGGAATTCAAGAACAGCCTGGGCAGCATAGCGAGACCTTGTCTCTACAAAAAAAAAATTTAACCAGGTGTGGTGGCAAAACCTGTAGTCCCAAGCTACTCAGAGGCTTGCTTGAATCTAAGAGTGCAAGGCTGCAATGAGCTATGAACCCATCATTGTACTCCAACTGGGTGATAGAGCCAGACCCTGCCTCTAAAAAGAAAAAATGGGAACAGTAATAATGCCTATTTCATAGTGTTATTGTGAGAATTAAATCTAAAGTTCTTTAAAAACAGTGCCTGGCATATGGTAAGTGGCTACTAAGTTGTAAATATTTATGGGAACACTGCCATTACTCACTTGTTTACATATGTCTATGACTGCTTTCCTGCTACATTAGCATAATTGAGTAGTGATGATAGAGACAATGGCCACAAAACCTGAAATGGTATCTAGCTCGTATTCGGTGCTAATGAGCGTCTGCCATTAATATTATTCACTGAACAAATATACCTCAGACTAAATGTGAAAAAATATATAAAAGCTTAAAATGAAAATAGTCCTTTACATTTCCATCCTCAAGAAGTAACCCTTATTAACATTTATATACTTATTATTGGCCTTTTTTGTTGTAGATATAGTTGTATAAAGATTGAAATTATTTTTTGTTTATATTTTGCCTCATTTGCTTAATGATAGTTGCTGACCTTAATATCAAAAGTATATTCTCACATGACTGAAAAATTTTGGTTATTGTTTCCAGTGACTTCCCTCAAATGTTCATACCATAATTTACTTAAACAATACCCTACTATTATAAATATAGACTGTAGTGAACTTTGTAATAACACTGGGATCAACATCTTAGAACATGAATTTTTATGTGTTTCATTGGCATAGAATCCTAGATGTGGAGTTCTAGGAATAAAGAGTAATCAATATTTTCTGATTACTGATGTGTCAAAATCCTTTTCTCAGGGAAACCAGGGTAGTAATCTTAAGTTAATTGAATTTTCTTTTAATATCTGTAGGAAAAAATTGATTTTCAGCATGCTCATGGCTTGCAAGAATTGGAATTTATTCGAGGACATTCTGATACAGAAGCAGCAAGACTGTGTGTGGACCAGTGGCTGAAAATGCCAGGTATTCTTTAGAGATCACGCTAAGATTACCTAGCTTCCCCAAAGGCTTAGGGCAGAAAGTGTGTCTGATTTGCTCAGTTACTAATAAGCATATAAGATATGAAATTTAGTTTCAGAAATACTAATATCACCTTACGATTGTCTACTTTACCCATTGTCTTCTTTCTGTGGCACAAGTATATAGGTAATCCCTACGCTTATTAAATACTACTAATTTATCCTCTCATATATTTAATAGTTATTATATAAAGTAGTACCCGTGTGTCTGTGGGAGGGTGTGTGACAGGTTTATATGGCCAGGAAAGGCTTCTCTAAGGAAATGGAATTTAAATTGAAATCTAGAGGGTTAGCGTTTACTTTTTTTTTTTTTTTTTTTGAGTTGGAGTCTCACTCTGTCGCTCCCGGCCACCGCAGCCTTGACCTGCTGGGCTCCAGCGATCCTTCTGCCTCAGCCTTCCAAGTAGCCGGAACTACAGGCACGCGATACCACACCCGGCTAATCTTTTGATTTATTGTAGAGATGAGGTCTCACCAAGTTGCCCAGGCGGGTCTTGAACCCGCGGGCTCAGGCAATTCACTTACCTCAGCCTCCCAAGACGCGGGAGCGTTTACTTATTTATTCATCAGTACAGCCTATGTAGCTGTTTTGTAAGGAAGCATTCTCTTAGGAGACTCATCTAAAGCATTAGGTAGCTCTTCATTACTAACTCTTTGTGGACCTGCGATTCCTGGAAGAGTTGCTGTGGAAGATTTCTTCCCCCACTAGATAATTTGGTGGAATTTTCAAGAACCAGTAGGAGAGCCCCACCATGGCAGCTTTGCTAGTCTGTCTTATAGAATATCCACTGAGCCCTTAAAAAGTTTAGGAAATTAGCAGAAACCTTAGCAATGAATTTAGTTCAGCAGAAAGTTCAACTGCAAAAGGTCATAGGAATATTTATGCATACAACGCTTAACTTTGTTGAATTTAGATACCTTGCATTCTAAAGTTACTTTTCAAGAGCTTTCTTTTGGACAGAATCAAATTACCACTTATAAAAAAATTATAATAATTTATATTTAGTAGTTCATCCCATTGGATACCTGATACAATAGAGTTTTTGACACTTGTCCACTCACTCAAACTATATTTCCTTATCTCAATGTGCTTGTACCTAGCAAACTTCAACTCCTCCCTCTTTTAAAATGCTTTTTCTCCTTTCTTTTCTTTTTTTTGAGTTGGAGTCTCACTCTGTTGCCCAGACTGGAGTGCAGTGGCCGCTCCCGGCCACCGCAGCCTCGACTTGCTGGGCTCCGGCGATCCTTCCGCCTCAGCCTTCCAAGTAGCCGGAATTACAGGTGTGCGCTTCCACGCCCGGCTAATTTTTTGATTTTATTGTAGAGATGAGGTCTCGCTGCCCAGACGGGTCTCGAACCCGCGGGCTCAGGCAATCCACTCACCTCAGCCTCCCAAAGGCGCGGGATTACAGGCTGAGCCACCGAGCCCAGCTTCTCCTTTATTTTCTTAGCTGCTTGTAGGGTTAATACATAGCTAACAAATAATACCCAACAGAGTACTAGGGATTGCTGAGTTAATATGATCATTGCATATCATGTCCAGTTAGCTGTGGTGTATCATGTCCAGCCTATCTAAGTTTATTCTATATAAGTTGGGTTGCTCAGCCTTCTCTGATCTCACAGTACTTTATTCATTTTTGAAATACATTTACTCTGTCATGTTGGACTGATCTATATATATCTGTCTCTTCTACCAGACTGTATGCTCTTTGGAGGCAGAGACTAAATCTCACTAAATCTTTTTAGTGTCAATTCCTTAAAAGAATGTCCAGCATAGAGATACTCAGTAAATGTTGGCTGACTATTATATAAAGGTGGGCTATAGATATTTGCATAATGAACATAGAAAGGAAGCTTGGAACTTGGATGCAAAGCTGTTACTCAATTGAACAAAACAATTGCAAGGCATTTCAGACCTACTTTGGCAAAAGATACATAGAAAATACGGTAAATGGTTTTTCTTCTTGGGGTGTTCTTTTAAACCTTATCATTTAAAAAAATCCCCTCTTCATATGCATTCAGTTCTCAGGGGAAGAAGTTAATGATTAGCTCAGTAGGGTCACCTTAGCTGCATCAGAATCACCTGGGAGCTTTTAAACAGATGACTAGGGCAAACCATCTCCAGAGATTTTTCAGGGCATCTGTACTTTTGGAAAATATCCTTATGTGGATAAGAAAACAAGCTAGAACTATAGGACTTCATAATCTCTAAGATGTCTTTGAAAAATAGTCTATCTCATGAATCTGCCACTTTTAAGTCCTACATAAAATGGTCATTGGGTAATTTGCCCCTTTAGGCCTAATCCCTGGCCTCTAGATTATAAGAATAATTTAATGCATTGTAAATTGAATTTTGAAGTATTTCCCTGAGCAGGTCAAGTAGGAACAAATGAGTCATTTAGCTGTGTTTTCATGGTACTTGTCTTTATGATATTTGCAAGAGTTAGTATTTTGTATGCCTTCAAGTCACACCTGGCTCATTGATGGTTGATAAGCTTGAGCCTGAAGTTAAGGTCTGTAGTTTGCTTTTTTTTTCTTGTGGTGGGTTCAGCTTTTTGCTTGGTCTCTGTAGCTATGTAAAAATAAATTTTGGGATCTGTTGCTTGAACAGCTGCTCTAGGATAGGGCTATATTTGGTTTGGTACTGTTCCATAAATGGGCTTTAAAAAGTGTGGAAATCTTTTAAGAGGGTCTAGCTGGGGAAAACAGAGAGGAAGCAGTGTTCTCTTTATTTATGAAAATGAAATTTTACTTCTTAGCATTAAATGACTCATTCAATTTATATCACAGTATAGTACTCAGCTGTTATAATTTTGTCCTTTGATTAAAAGTACTTTAAGTACTTCATTTATAGTTATTCTAACTTTGGACAGTCTATTTGTTGTTTTTTACAGTTGGGTCAGTTTGCATAAATTTGAATACTTAATAATTTTAAAACAATGCTCTCTATACTGTTTAAAAAATAAAGCTACTTAAATCTCTGTGTTTTGCCTTTCTATGGGGAAGCTTTTTTTTTAAGGGATTATTTTCTCCAGAACCTCTATTTATAGCTAAATAAAGGTGGTAATGAGAGACATCTGGAATGTGATGGAAATTTATAAAAATTGTCATAGTTCTGATTGCGTTTAAAAAGTTAAAGATAAAAAGGTGTTTTGTCATTTAAAGCCTTGTTAAGACTAAAATATGATTAATTCCATGCTGTCCATTACTCATTGTCAGAACATATTTATAAACACTTTGATAGTTTGGTAGAGGCATTCTCCGTAAAGACTAGAAGTGCAGAAAAGCACTTAAAACTTTAAGCATATATAACCATTTTGGGTTTTAAAAACTATATTATGCTAAGAGAATAATTGTATGCTAGTTAAATGCTTAGAGGCTTTGTAGAAACTGCAAAAATATAAATCTGCAGTTTTTTTTTGTTATATGAAATACTGAAAGCATTTGAGTTGAACAGTCTACAAGAGAGTAATAAAAGGGGTAGTTAATCAGACCATCTCTGTTTTAGAATCCTCATGGTTGTTTACATTTCTTTTTTATACAACATAACTCTCTACATTTTTTCATTTGTATCATGTGTTGGGAGTTTCCCTGGGAAAAAAAATTAGCCAAAGAATTAGTCTATAAGAGTTGTGTGACACTAAGACCATGATTATAAAGAAAGAAAGAAAAGGGGAAAATGGATCAGGATAAAGGAGCATTAATTAATTAAGAGAAGATAATGGCGGGTCACTATTTTCTGATTGGCTTTTTAAAAAGTAAAAGAGAAGGGACAAAATAAGATAAATAGAAAGCAGAGAGAGAGCAACAATAAGTAAATCTCTGCTTTGTGTTCTATAAATGTTTTATTACTGACACCTGTGTGACTTGATGTGCAGGTTGGAGATGATTGATCAGTGGCTGGAAACCTCAGAAAATAACACCCGTGGCCTCCTTGCCTCCCTGCTCTTTCCACTTCATCCTTTCCACTCCAGTTATGTTGATCATTATAGAGCCCAGACTCTGTGTAATACAGCTGAATTTATAATAGTTGAAAAAGAAAATAAGAATTAGAAGAAAAAAATCGTTGCCAACTTAAATGGAGTAAGGACTTGACTTTCTAATGCATATGATCTTTAATATTTCTTGACTCTTTGACTTAAGGAAATTGATTTTTTTCCTTAAGAGAATGTTACTTGGAGCCAACCTGGGCAATATAGCTTGTCCCCTGTCTCCAAAAAAAAGAGAGAGAGAGAGAGATTGCTACTTGGCGATATTAGGGCTTTTTTGGGTCACAAATAACTTTATGATATCTTTTATAAGAGATTGTAAACAATTATAATTAGAAACACCCAGTTGGTGCCGTATCAAAATTTTCATTGTTTTGTCATAATTCTGAAATAGTAACTTAAGAATTTATGTTTCAATGATGCAGGACTCAAAACAGGCACAATTAATTCTGGAACAAAAAGTTCATTTCGAAGAGGAAGCCAAACACGGGTGCCTGGGAAACCCATTTCATGTCCCATAATGCACTGTAACAAGGAATTTGACAATGGGCATCTTCTCTTAGGACATTTGAAAAGGTAAGAAGGACATTCAGAACAGTGGATGCTGAGGATCAAGTGAGTTACAAAGTGATTTCATAAAATCAAGTGTGATGCACCTCTGCCATTGTGCTTATAGCTTTATGTTCTAAATTCAAATTAATTTGTGCCGTTATGATATGATTATTTCTGATATATATTTCTTAGGTTTCCTAGAAGGCTTGGTGAAGTCAGATTTTTTTCTAGTGATAAATTGTTGTTTTTGTGGGTATAGCTTTCTTTAAAATATGTATTTTTCCCAAATATGTCTCATAAAATTCTAAACATACTTTTTATATTGAAATGCAGTTGGATCAGTTTTAGAGAAATCCAGCCCATAAATGCAAATTTCAAGAGAAAGAGAGTACTTACAGATATTTGGTCTATCCTAAAGAAAACTAATATGACGTTATGAAATAAATGCTAAAAGCAAACCAGTGTAAGCAAAATTAGTAATAAAGAAACGTCCCATTTACAAAAACCACTTTATGAATTTAAGGAGAGGTGGTATTAAAGGTATTAAACATTGTTATCCCCACGGTCTCCCTTTCTAATAGTTGGAGGATGGAAAGTTGAGAGTTTGGAGCTCTAAGCCATTGTCTTTTTCAGATGTCTCACCCTCCTTATGCCTTATCTTACCAAGAAAGGCTTCTAGAGAGTTGCAGCAATCTATAAAAAATTGTGGCATACTGTATCATGACTGGTTAAACAAGTCTTCCAGGCAGTTCAAAATGATGCAAATTTATTAAGTGGTTAAAATGGACATTAAAAGGATTAAAAGTCATATATAGAAAACATAGGTGTGCCAGAGATCTTAACATGAGATTATTATTGTAGTGGTTCATTTAAAGTTATTTATGAATCTTACAGTAACCATGGCAAGAAAGAAAAGATGTTGAGTGTAAAATTTTCAAATTAGAAATTTACCAGTTTGATAAGAAATGCCTAAATCCATCTTATTGGATCTTGAGTACTTTTATGAAATCTTGAGCAAACTGTTGATCACAGTCTGAGGAGATTGTCTGGCATATGGGATCTACTTGATACTTCTTGAATATGAAGAACATTATTTAATATTTTAGTAGAGAAGTGTAAAGTTCTGAATGTGTGTGTATGTGTTTAGCATCAAAGTGAAATGACATAGTTCTTCCCCTAGAATGTAGGTTTTCCTAATGTTACCTCTCTTTTGCTGCATAGGTTTGATCACTCTCCATGTGATCCAACAATTACACTACAAGGACCTCTCATCAGTTCCTTTGCTTGTGTAGTATGTTATAAAAAATTTGTTACTCAGCAGCAATATAAGGATCACCTTTGTGCAAAGGTAAGAGCATGGCCTAAGTTAAGAGTATTCTTTTTCTAGACTGTCATGGAATTGGGTATCGGTGTTTTTGTACTTCTCTTAAGTTTGCAATTACTGGTGATACATACAAGGATCAAAACTGTGATTGTCTTTTGAAAATAAAATTATTTGGGCTGTTAAATTAATGTGGGCAGGTAAGAGTTTATCAAAATCCTTCCTTCCATGAGTTGCTATATGAAATGAAATTGCTTTGTTCAAGAACCTTTATGGTTAGTCACATGATGAGAACTATAACCCTATTCTTAAGTCTATTACCTTTCACTGCCTGTTTAAATGTTGGAGCCATGTAGTAAAAAACAACTCCATTATTAAGGCTAGTACTAAAGAATAGAACTAATATTTAAAAGGCTGTGTTATATAACTCTCATTAAGTGTTACATCTGAAGGGACATAAGTTGATTCATATATATGCAAATTCATGTAAGTAAATATCTCGCTGACTTTTAACAATGCAGAAGTAATGTATGTTTATTGTGGAAAATGTTTAAAATGTTAACAAAAAGAAAATAAGAAATCACCCCTAATTTCAGAGATAACCACTGTTAACATTTTTATATGTATGTTTTACTATTTCTTCCTAGATACAGATTTTTATATAAGATAAGGTATCTAATTGTTTTATGATCAAAAAAGCAGTGTGTTGCAAACATATATGCTTAAATATTTGTTGAATCAGTACATACACTCCTACATTTTAAGTCAATGAATAATATTCTTTTGTATGGATATATTACATTTCATATAATTAATTTCCTAATGAATATATTAATTTTTTTGAAAAAAAATTTTTTTGAGGTAAGGTCTGGAGTACAATGGCGCTATGATAGCTTACTGCAGCCTTGACTTCCTGGGCTCAAGTGATCCTCCTTCCTCAGCCTTCTGAGTAGCTAGGACTCCAGGTGCATGCCACCATGTCTGGCTCATTTCTCCAATTTTTTGTAGAGGTGGGATCTTGCTATGTTGCCCAGGCTGGTCTGGAACTCCTTGACTGAAGTGATCCTCCAACCTCAGCCTCCCACAGTAGTAATGGGATTACAGGCATAAGCCACCACACCTGGCTCATTTTTCCCCTATTGTTAAAAACAATACCACATTAAAAATCTTGGTAGCTAAAAATCTTTGAGAATATCTATATTGAATTTACTGAGTAAATATTACGTTTTGAAATACTGAAATACTATGTTTAGTTATTGGTGAGGTTTTGTTTTTTTTTTAAAGAAATATGTTTTCAGAATTTGTTTATATTTAGAGCTATACCTGAAAAGTAATATAGGGAATAGTTTGAATTCTTTGTAGTTTTACAGCAGAGAATTAAAGCTTGCATTCTTAAGTATATCTGTTTGAATTCTACAGTCCTCCCATCCTCTGCCCTGGCACTAGAGAACACTCCCTGAACAGATGTGTATTTTGAAGCAGATTTTGTTATACACTCATTCGTTAGTTTTTGAAAACCTGCATCTTGCTTAATACTGTCTAGATACTGTAGTATAAAACAAATTAACTATAGTTCTTACAAACAGGGAGCTTGTGGTATATAATGAACAAGTTTTAATGGTACAACATGTGAAATAGGAGTTCAGAAAAGGGAGAGAAATAACTGTTGGAGAATTTGGCAAAGCATTATGGAAGAGATGGTCTCCAGAGTTGGATTTGGATAGATGGAAAGTAAAAGTGATAGCATTTTAGTCAGAGCCGAAGAGCTTAAACAGAATAGTGACTGTATGAATAGGTAGTATGCAGAAAGGATTAATATAGCAGGTCTGAACCCAGGGGTTTTAGATTAGCCTGTCTTTAGATAGGCTTGCTTGCAATGTTGGCTCTTGGCCAGTGTCAGGGAACTTGGGTTTTGGGAGAGTTTCCACCATTCTCTTGACATGAGTGAGTGACTGTGCAAACTGTGTTTTATGCTAGGCACCTGATTTCCTCATGGGAGTCTGGAATTTCGGTACATGCTAGGCAGAGCCCGCCTGTATGACCAGACCCCAGTAAAAACCTGAGCTCTGAGTCGCTATTAAACTTCCCCAGTAGACATAGTTTACATGTGTTGTCACAAGTCATTGCTAGAGGAATTAAATGTGTTCTGTGTGACTCCACTGGGAACGATTTCTTGGAATCTTATACTTGATTTCCTATAGGCTTTGCCTCTTGTGCTTTTTCCCTCTCCTGATTTTGCTATGTATCCTTTCAGCGTGGTAAGTCATAGCTGTGAGTGTAACTATCTGCTGTGTTCTGTGAGCCCTCCTAGCAAAGTGGAATTTGAGGTAGTCTGGGGGATTCCCAACAGAAAGTTACTTGATTGTAAAGGCACAGGATTTAAAACTTGATATTGGCAAGAGAGCTATTATAGAAGAATGACATGATGAAAATAATGTGCATTATAACTTTAAAGCTAGAATGACATTTGATTCTAGAACCCAGTTCTTTCCTTTTTTTTGTTTTTTTGTTTTTTTGAACACCGAAGAGACTTTGTGGTATTAGAATGGCAGTAGTGATGGGCGCGGTGGTTCATACGTATAATCCCAGCACTTTGGGAGGTGGAGGCAAGAGGATTGCCTGAGCCGAGGGGTTTGAAATTAGCCTGGGCAACTTGGTGAGACTTCATCTCTACAGTAAATAAAAAAATTAGCTGAATGTGGTAGCACATGCCCGTATTTCCAGATACTTGGAAGACTGAGGCAGTATGATTGCCTGAGCTCAGCAGGTAGAGGCTGTGGTAGCTGTGATGTGCCACTGCACTCCAGCCTGGGCGACAGACTGAAACTGAATGGAGGAGGAAAAAAAAAGAATGGCAGTAGTGTTCAGAGTGGATTCAAAGATGCAGACAAGGAGACCAGTTTAGGTGACTATTGTTGCAATTTAACTTTGAGATGAGAGAAGTGATTGACATTTGGAATAAAGACCTTAAAGGGAATCCAAAAGACATATTGAAGAAAGAAGTGGTAAGATTACCTATTGCCATGACAAGTGGAAGATTTGGAAAAACCACAAAGAGAACTACATTCCATAAAAGTTCAGTGTTTGCAGTAGGTGACTAATAATCTACATTTTTCAGAACCAGAGTTCTTTCAGAGCAAGTTTCTCTATTCTTTTATTTAAAAAAAATTTTTATTTTAAAGATGTGGGGTACAATTCAGGGTTAAGTATACAAATGTTCATTATGCAGGTACCCTTGTTGATGAGGTGTGTCCCCCACCTCCCCTGGCAGAATTCCACTACTGCCAGTCCTGTCCTGTCTCCCATCCTCCACAATTTCCTACTACTGATAATCCTTATCTTATAGTATTACAATAATTGTTCAAAGTCCACTTATGAGTGAGAACATGTGATATTCAGTTCTTTGTTTCTGTGATAGATCACTCAGTATTATAGACTCTAGGTCCACCCAAGTTGCTGTGAAGTTCATAATTTTGCCCTTTATGGCTGTGTAATATTCTATCGTGTATATGTACCACTTTTTTTTTTTAAATTCAGTCCTGTTTTGATGGGTAGCATGGTTGGTTCCATGTTTTTGCTATGGTGAACAATGCTGCAATAAACGTGTGTGCAGGTATCTTTTTCACAGAGTGATTTGAGTACCTCTGAGTATATTCCCAGTAGGGGAATTGCGGGGTAATATGGAAGGTCGATTTTTAGACCTTTTAGGAATGGCCAAACAGTTTTCCACAGAGGTTGTACTAGTGTACACTTCCACCAACAGTGTAGAAGTGTTCCCTTTTCGCCACATCATCTCCGGCATTACAGTATTTTTTGAGTTATTGATGATGGCCATCCTGACTGGAGTTAGGTGTGGTTTTAGTTTGCATTTCTTTGATGACTAGTGAGGCTGAGCATTTTTTCATATATCTGTTGGCTGCTCATATGTCTTCTTTTGAGAAGTGCCTATTCATATCTTTTGCTCATTTTGTAATGGGGCTGTTTGTTTTTTTCTTTTTGGCACATTTGAGTTCCTTGTAGATCCTAGATATTAGGCCTTTGTTAGATATACAGTGGGCAAATATTTTTTCCCAGTCTCTGGGCTGTCTGCCTGCTTTCTTGATGGTTTATTTGACTTTTCAGAAGCTTGTCAGTTTGATGAGGTCCCACTTATCTATCTTATCTCTTATGACATGGGCACTTGGGGTTTTGATCAGGAATTGGTTGCCAGTTCCAATTTCCACAAGCATATCTCCTGCAAGTTCTTGTAGTTTGAAGTTTTACGATTAGGTCTTTGATCCATTTAGAGTTGACGTTTGTGTATAGGGATAGGTAGGGGTCTTGTTTTAATCTTCTGCATGTGGTCAGACAGTTTTCCCAGCAGCACCATTTACTGAATAGGTTCTCCTCTCCCCAGTGGTTGATGGTGGAGACTTTATTGAAGATGAGTTGGTTGAGAAATTGAGTTTTGCTTCTGGAATCTCCTGTTCCATTGGTATATATGCCTATTCATGTACCCATACCAGGCTGTTTTGATTATTGTAGCTTTATTTAAAAGTTTAAAGTCTGGAAGTGTGATACCTCCCGCTTTGTTTTTTGTTTGTTTGTTTTTGTTTTTTGTTTTTTTTTCCACTGAGGATTGTTTTGGCTATCTGTGGTCATTTATCTTTCCATTCCTATATTGTTTCCAGGTCTGAGAAGTATGCTGCTGGTAATTTAATGGGTATTGCATTAAATCTGTATATTGCCTTGGGTGGGATGGACATCTTAACAATGTTGATTCTTCCAATCCATGAACATAGAATATTTTTCCATTTGTTTGTGTCATTTTGATTTCTTTGAGCAGTGTTTTGTAGTTTTCATTGTAAAGGTCTTTCACGTTTCTGGTTAGGAAGATGTCAAGGTATTTCTTTTTTGTGTGTGGCTATTGTGAATGAAATTGTGCTTTTTATTTGGGTTTCCGTTTGTTTATTTTTGGTGTATAGAAATGTGACTATCTTTTGCACATTTATTTTATACCCTGAGACTTTGCCAAAGTCCTTTATAAG